GGGTTTAGGGTTTAGGGCTCTGAGCTTTAGCGGGTTTCTCAGCAGGCATAGCGCTTCAGGGCTCTGATGAATACTTCCCCTAGTCAAACGAATATATCTTGAAGCGCCAGAAACGGCCTTGTGCAGATTCATTTGGGGATTTCCGAAAATAGGGGACCCCAATATAGTACTCTAATATAGTAGGATCCTTACTAGAAGGACCCCCAAATCAGATACCCCTTATTTTCGGAAACTCCCAAATTTTTACCTTCCTGATTGCCGGTATTCTAGGGCTCCATGTCACGATGTCCTTCCAGGCTTCCAAAACAGACGTGGGGGAGTTGAGAGTTTCAGTGAACAGGCATCGTGCATTGGCTGTAGGACGCTCCGCGGCTTTGGCAGGGGAGCTTTATTTGGCCTTTAGAGAGCTTAGGGCCTAGATTTAGGCTTACGGTGGTCTTAAGCTTGGATGAATGACGTCAGACGATCAACGGGCCTGCGCGGATCGGACATGTTTCCACCAAAACTTTTTTTCACAAGCCATTAAAGCCTAGGAAGAGTCTTATTCAAGAGTCCCGAGGTGCAGCGGCTCAGTGTTTAGGATTAGATTTAGGGCTTTGGGTTTGGGGTGTAGGGTGCAGTCCTACTCAACGGAAGCGCAGTGGCTCAGCGTTTAGATTTAGGCATTAGAGTTTGGGGCGTGGGGTTCAGTCTTACTCGACAGTCCTGAAGTGCCGTGGCTCAGTGTTCAGAGGCTTCGGGGACTTCAGAGTACGATTTCCCACGAGATGCAATGCCCCGTTTCCGGTACGTTTCGAGACTTTTGCAAGACTGGCTCGAGACTTTCACACAGAAGTCTCCTTCGTACACCTGCATGGAAGGCAACATTGACGGTAAACCAGAGTGCGCTCTCAACAGCGAGAAGAAACAGCAAAAACGAACCCAGATGATGGCTCGGTGGGCCATGAACCTTGAACGTCCTCCGCCAGGCCCCAAACCCGTAAACCGAAACCCTGAATCAGCCTCCACAATCCAATCTACACCTCAGAAAACACCAAGATGGAACTCTATGAAATCCCTGCATTTGCCGCATGAAGCCCTAATGAAAAATCCCAATACTTGGAGGATCATGGGACTTAGTAAGTAAGGCTTTAAGTCCCGTAAGTGGGGTTATAAGTATAGCTGCCCTAATTATAACCCTACTTACTAAGTCCCATGATCCTTTAAGTACCCCCAAAGTCCGCTTTCCCCCGCTCTGTGGAGCTTACCCAGTTGCCATCAGCACAGCTTGCAACCGCACCATCCACCTCGGCTACGCTCTGCTCAGGGACCCCAGCCTACCCAACAAGTAGGGACAATTCGGGTTTAGGGTTTCTACCTCACATGAAGTCTACAACAGGCACGCGCATATACCCCATAACTTAGTAAACATACTACAGTATATAAGCTTGGCAAGCATGTTCAAGAACTGGTCAACACTGGATCATCAGTCTGCCTCCCAGAAGCCTAACCCTCAAAGCCCCCTTTAAAGGAACCTACTATAGGGATCTATAATATGGTCCCCTTAAAGGGGACTGTGGGGGTTCTGTAGTAGGATCCCCCTTAAAGGAACCTTCTTGTTGGAGATTAGAGATCAGTCCCTGGCTTAAGCTATCGCACTCCGAGCCTCCACACGGTCAGCCCAAAAGCCTGAGTCCTTTAAACTACCTATAGTCTCCATTGTAGTTCCTTTTGGGGTTTCCTTATAGGATCCTAATGATAAAGTTGCTTCACCCCAAAAAAAGGAACTACAGTAACTGCTTTAATCTGCAACACCTACTAAGCCTACAGCCCCAACGAACGTGCCGACGTGTTGCGGACTACGAGTGAGTTTAGGGCCTCGCAGGGTTGAGCGCGAAGAGCCCGCAGGAGACAGAAGTCGCCGGTGCTTTCTATCGGTTTAGGGTTTAGCGGCTTTCAGTAAAGCATTACAAGGGTCTTACGAGGGGTATATCCGTGCATATTATGCCTTGCTAAGCCTTTTGGCCAAGACTGTAGAAGCTCTGGGGCTTAGGGAGTTTGGGGCCTTGTGGGTTTAGGGTTCGGGTTTTGGTGTAGGATTTAGGGTTGACATTGAGGTGCTTGGGCACGTCGGCCAGCAACCCCGAGCCGCAGACGGGTCTAGGGCTTAGGGCTTTCGGACTTGGGGGGTTTAGTAGTTTTGGGTTCACGGCTTTCTAGCTTTGGGCTTATGTCTTCGGTACTAGACACCCTCTTGAAACTCCTGAAGCCCGAAACCAATCAGCGAAAACCCCTGAGACTCTTTGAAGCCTAAATGCCCAGGTTAGAAACCTCATCGGAGATAAAACTTCAAAACCCAGCCGCGGCGTCCCGATGGTGATACAGCATTAGCTGATCTTCCACCAATGTTCCGGGACTGGCTTTGAAGTAGATCACACCTGAAATCAAAGCGCCAAGGCATAATATGCGTGTGCTTGAATCAGTATACAAGGAAGAATTCTGTGGCATAATGCAGTCTAACTAGGATTCAGGGCTGAGGGTTCAGCATCTTCCTGGAGTAGATATGAGGATCCTGCAATCGAGGAAAATACCGATTCCGGATTGGATTTCGGAGTACATCCGTGGTATCGCCGAATGTACAGAACCATTGCCAATTACTCCGTCCCCCCAATATCATTACGGCTGATGATATAAATCCTGCGATTCCCATAATAAGGAATATACCAGAATTCCCATAGTTTAGGGTCCTTAAAGCCTTAAGGGTAATGCAGGAACCCTAAATCCTAAACCCTAAAACCTAAACTTTGTATCATCCACCGTACGTCTCTGATTCCCTGTCAGGGATCCTTAAGAAAGCCTAAACCCTAAACCCCAAACCTAAAACCCTAAAACCCTAAACCCTAAACCGGGTACTGCAGGATTTATCTCATCCAGTATATCTCTGATTCCTTTCATTTTTGACAGATCGGGTGGTCAGGGTTCCGACCCAGGGGCTTCTGGCTTTCGCGTCGGATCCGGTTTAGGGGTTTTGGGGTTTTGGGCTTTAGGATTTTAGGATGTAGGGTTTTGGGTTTTAGGGTTTAGGGCTTTAGGATTTTAGGGTTTAGGGTTTTGGGCTTTAGGGTTTAGGATTTTCGGGTTTAGGGTTTTCGGGTTTAGGGTTTAGGGTTAAGAAAAACCCTGAACCCCCCAAAAAACAAGACCCTAGACACTAAAGCCTAAGACCTGTATCCTGAACCCCGTGTATCCTTAACCCTAAAGGCTATAAGCCTCCTACGCTCTATAGCCACTACAAGCCTAAAACCTTGCTCTCTGCACTTGCCACTGCAAGCCCAGCAGCTGTTTCGCAGGGTATCAGTGCCGACCTCGGTGTCCAGTTTTGTGTTTGCGGCGCTTCGTGCATATTACTTAGGGCCCTAGGGTTTAGAGTTCAGGCTTTAGGGTTTACGGCTTAGGGTTTAGGGCTTGAGGTTGGAGGTCAAGGATGTTGGCGGTTCGAAGTTTTAGCACGGTATGGACGATTTTTCGGCATGAGCTGACTTGGCAAGGAATGTCAAGCTTCTTCCGCCATGGTTCGGCATTCAGGCCCGGTCACGGGTATGGGCCCGTCCACAATCCTTATAGGCCTGAATACTGTTGATGCTTTAAATCCTGCAGTACCCGTAATAAGGAAAGTACCATAATTCCCATAGTTTAGGGTCCTTAAGGTAATGCAGGGTTTATAGCAGCAACCGTATCTCAAGGTCTACCCGGGCTTACGGCTTTGCGGGAGCCTTTTACCCCCTTACCCAACGAATCTACCGTATATCTATCATACTATGTGCTCAAACGACTACAAGCACCACGCCCAAAACCCTGGAGTAGTTTAGGGAACCCTAAACCCTAAACCCGAGCCTTGGGAATAGTTTAAGGAATCATGAGGTTTCGGTTCGGGATACCAAACAAATCTCGAAGAAACGTGCTCGAAGACATCCTTCAGACACTTCGGAACCCCCGACACCCAAATCAGTAGCTCTAAGCCCTAAACCCTAAACCCTAAACCCAAAGCCTTATTATGCACTGTTCCTGAAACCCGGCACAAAAAAACAAAAAAAAACCTAGATTCTCTACTCCCTCTAAACCCTACACCCCTAAGCCCACTTAATGTAGAGGCCCTAATCATTACAATAGGGTTTTGGGGTATATTATAGTGTACTTATACTAAGGAACCCCCTAAAAAAATCATAGTAGACCTAGAATAAGGAACCCCAGAAATACCATAGATAATTCTTCAGGCCCTTATATGAAACCCTGAGCCGGGCTGTGACGGGGCACTGGGCAGTAGATGCCATTGTGGTACCAGGTTTGGGTTCGCACCTCGTTTAAGGCTTAGGGCTTAGGGACTGGATTTGAAGCTTCCTCTCTCAGCACCTAGCTTTGGGACTTGAGCCTCTGAGGTTTTGGGCATTTGGGTTTAGGGCTTTAGGGGTTTAGGGCTTTAGGGTTTAGGGGTTAGGGTGCTGGGTTTAGGGGCTTTGTGGAGCCTAAGGCTTGTGGTTCAAGATTTCGGGCTGCGAGATTTGGGGTTTGATGGAGTTGAGGGTGTTGGGCCTAATGTAGGGGCCTTAATGATTAGATTAGGGTCTTGGGGGTTCCTCATTATAATCATAGTATAATATACTCCCAAACCCTATTCTAATTCCTACGGCCCCTATTTGTTTCCGATCTAAGGTATTACGAATTACGGCCATGTGTACGGAGTTTAGGGCTGAGGGCTTATAGGCATGCAAGGTTTAGGGTTCAGGGTTTCGGGGGAAGCTAATATAATTTTGGCGATCTCTTTCAGAACCAACAAAACCAAGAAAAGAAGGAAACTAAACAAGCCCCCAAGAGCCTTCTAGCACACCCTAAATGCTGAATCCTAGGTCCTAGATCCTCTAACCTAGATTGGTGGTATTGGCGGCTGCCTGTTCCCTTTCTGTGTCGCAGGTCTCAGGTGTCAGCTCGCAGAGCCCTAACCCTAACCCCCGAACCGCACACCGTAAATTCAGGGCCGGCAATGAACCGGAAATCCTAATTTCCTGAAACGGGCCCGAAGATCTTTGAACCCCGGCAGAAGCAAATCGCGTGGAGCCTTAACGTCGACCCTGGTTCTTGAAAGGCTCTGTGAGGGTCTTTCGGCGGTTTAGGGCTTCGGCTTTAGGATTCAGGAGTTCGTGTTTAGCGTCCTGGTTTGTGGGGGGTGTTTAGGGTCTTCAAAGCCCCGAAGTTTATAAAGTCGAAGAAGGGCGTTCACCCCTTCTTCGAAGGCCTGAAAGACCCGGATCCAAGTTGAAAACCGGGGTTCTCCTACCCGGTCCAGGATCTACTGCATGAGGAAGACGGGGGGGGTGGGTGGGGGGGGGGGGG